TCTAACATTCTGTGATTCTGTGATTCAGATCTAGGCTGTCGTCATAGTCCTCTGCATGTACAGCCAATGAGGTGTGAATTTATTTGCTTTTATTTGGAAGGCAGTCTAGAAATTGAGTGTTTTTAAAGGGTAAAATATAGCTCAAAGCCAAAAATGTTCTTTTATGTGCTGAAGCATGATTAACATTTTTTGATGGACATTGTATGGGCTAAATCGTTGGTGAAATTAGAGTGTACTGACACGGTTAATCCTTACTCTTTCTCTAAAAGCTACTGTTGATTTTTTGCAAGTTGCACTAGAGACTGTTTTTAAAGGGGTTACTCTTCATCATATGACTTAGCTTGTAAATTAAATCTGTTTAATCACAATGCTAAGGGCCTCAATGAAGTAGATTGAACACAGACTACTGTAAATGATTCAGATGATTACCCTGGAACACATGCAGAACATAAGGGATTCACTGAACTTGTTTAAGCAGCTTAGTGAAAACTAAAACTGATGAGTTTTATTCTTTGCTTTCTCAAGACTAGTATAACAACTAGGATTGAAACATTTGAAATGGAAAACAGAAATTTTCCAGTTTCTTGCACAGTTCAGTCAGCTGGACCTGACAACACCAGCAGGAAAAGAAAATAGATGCTCTAGATTATAGACAAACTTGCAGATGAGTCGTGCTCTTCCCCTGTTTTTTTATCCCACCCCAGGCATTTAAAATATCTTGAAGGGCTGCTCTACCTTCTGGAAAACTGAGAAAACATTCTGTTGAGAGTTAATTTGGCTCATTTCATGTTTCCTGTTCAGCATTTGTCTTACATTGTTTTTTTTTATCACTAGGGATATTTGCATGACAATGGGATCTTTCTTGCTTAAGAGTTCATCTGCTCCTGCTGCTAATTTCCTACCTGAAGTTGTAATCTTCTGTTTGTGACATCTTAATTATCTCTGCTGCAATTAATTGTGGTGTCACAAATGGAGGATTATGACTTTGAGTTGGAAATAAGATTGAGAAATTGAAGGAGTTTGAAGAAGCAAAGAGGCCTTTCTTCTTGAAAAATAAAACAGAAGACAAAATAATTTTGGCTAAACTGAGGCAGTCCTCCATCAGCTTCCTTCTTATAGCAGTGGAACAGACGTTTCTAATTTTTGCTGTCATAGGAGCCCCTGCTGTATTGAGTCACTGTGGAGTGGGAGGAGGGGACAAGGATTTCATTGTAGAGGAAGGAGAATCTTCCCCTGAACAGCCACCCATGAAGCAAAAGGGAAATTGAAGTTGGTGGAACCCAGAGAGGTCTGGGCTCTGCTCGCAGAGAGCAGACTGCAGGGCTGGTATGGCTGCAGTTCGTTTAAAGACCTATCCATCTGTGGGGCTTCATATCTTGCAATATTTGTTTGCTTTTAGACATATGAGTTTGAAGAACAAATTTCCAGAAGAGTATTTTTTGGGGGCTGGGGGAATTCCAAAGACTAAAGGAGAAATTCTGTACAGCATCCTGAAAACATGTAAAGTGAAAGCTTTGTGTTACCCTAGTCCACCGTGGCTTTAATTTGTTCTATGGACTTGTCATATTTCACTTTTTGGTATGTTGCCTTATCCTTTTGTATCCTTCTGCTTTTCCTTTGGAAAAGTGTTGTTTCCAGAGAGATGTTGGGTGGCCTGGCTGGTGTTTTTGTGAGGACATTACTAAGGCTGTTTATATACGCCATTTATTTTACTGTTTTCCAAAGAGGTAAACATAGCGTGCCTGTGATTAATTTTATTACTGAAAGTGACAGGCAAAGTAGACTCACAAAGTAGGACTACTCATCTAGAGCTGCTAGCACTTTGCATTAGAGTGTTTACATGGATAGTGCATAAACACTGGGACCAAGTCATGACTGAAAGAGGGAAACAACCACAGTTGATGAAAAAGTGAAGTGTCTTATTTTAACACCTCTACTGATGTTAGGAAAGGGCAAAGACTGCAAAGCAGAGGGATGAAAGTGGAGAACGAAACAAAGATTAGCTATGTGGTTTTAGGAAAGTATAGCGTCCTTCAGAAAAATGTGCACCCATCCTCAAGTGTAAATGGAAGTGAGCCTCTCTGGAAATAGGCCAGTCTGCGCTTTCTGATGCCCGGGTTAATTTGTATCTGTGTATCAAATCTATTTTAATGGTTGGATGTAGCAGCTACTGTGCCATAGCGAAACAGGCCATTTCCTGTTGTCTTTTGGAAAATGTAAAAACAGGCACTTGACCATCTGATTGACACAAAAACTGTAAGGGAAAATAATCTGTTAAGATTTTGCACTCAGACACATTGTTGTAAATCTGCAAAAGTTCTGCAAGTGACAACAGATCCACTGTGATAATCTACCAGCAGAACCTGGACCTTCCACATTGTGTTGCAAAGCTCATTTGCAGCACCAAGTTTACCTTGTAGGCAAGTTGGTTTGAAGTTAAATTAGGATGCCTTCAGGGAGGCATAATAGTGCAAAGTGGGGGAAAAAATGCTGGGAAAAACCCCAATATGCTGAGAAATTATTATATATTTGCCAACATATTTTTTTTCTTTTTCAAAGGCAAAAGCAGTTATGGCAAAAGTGGGTTACCCTCAGTTTATAATGAATGACACGTATATTAATGAAGACATCAAAACAGTAAGTGTCAGACTTGCAGCTCTCTTCTTTTACATACTGCAGCCATTCCTTGCTCTGTTTTGCTGCTGTCTAAAATCAAAGCTCTTCTTTTGTTTGGCACGCATCTGGAGTTCTGCTTGCCTGGTTATTTTTAGACATTGAATTAAGTATGCTAGTTCTTATGTCTAAATTGTCAATGCTGGTGTGTCTAAGCGAGATGACCATGAAGCCTGCTGGGAGTAAAATGTGCCTGGGTGCCAAGTACCTTCCTGCTATTGAGCATTTTAAAGGTTAAACTTGCGTTGGCATACATTTTGTATTTAGTTATAAAAAAGAAACAAAACAAAAGTATTTCTCCTCAAAGTGACAGTCTTCAAAAATATTAATGCATTTTTCCTCAGAATATCACAATTTATGATGCCCTGTATAGGCTCTCCCCACTTCTTCAGGCTATGAATTTTATTTATTATTGTTTGTAGTGTTGCCTAATGGTCTTAGCAAATGTATATCCCTACTGTGCTGGCTGCTGGACAAGGCTACTTTGGGGGAACTCCTTCCTGATCCAGTATCTGCTCAGCTTAACTAAGGCAGAAAGGCAGATGATGGAGAATAATATATTTTACTGTTTTCCAAAGAGGTAAACATAGCGTGCCTGTGATGGATTTTATTACTGAAAGTGACAGGCAAAGTAGACTCACAAATTCAATCCTGAACTGGTAAAATACAAGAGTGATAGTCATCTTTGCCAGAGAACGTGAAAGAAGACTAAAGAGAGGCATAATTTATTGAGAAAACTTTGAAGGACCAACTTCTAGCAGCCTAGTCATGGTTTCTGGAACGAGTAGGGCAAGATGGTGCTGTGAAGACAGTGTAATGAGACAAAGGATGTGACCAACTTTATCACTCAGCATATGGATTTATTAGCCCAGATAAGTGGTAATTTCTAGCAAAAAAAACTTGTTAATCACAGTTGCAAAACCATAGTTTACATCTGAAGTGCAACTTCCTCACAAGTCTCAGGATTGCTTGAAACTGGTGACAGGGATATCAGCTGGATTTATAAACTATTAACATCAATTTTCCTTGCATGGTTAGCTGTGTGGGTGTTGGGCTTGCTATTAGATTTGGAGGCTTATGGAAGCATGAAACTGTATGTAAACATTTAATGTGAGAATAAGAAAGCAGTGGCAGAACCCCTGGAGGGCACAGAGTACGAAGTATTTGTAATAAAATGCAAATCAAACTGAAAAAAGGGGCTTTGCTACATTTTTGAAAGTGGTTTTAAAATGCACTTTAAAAAATAAAAGTAGACCTATTTCCTTCTGGAAAAGAGGCTGTCTTAATAATCGCCATAGGAACGTGCAGTCTACAATTTGTTGTTGGATACTTCTGATTTCCTCAGCTCCTCTCTGCATAGGGAAGAGCTTTTCTGGTGTTCCAGTCCCTTGTGTAGATCCGTTCAGTCACTCTTTTTTTAACTAAGCTCACAAAATATTTATTCCTCCTAAGTGTGAAAATTTTGCGTGTTTTAATAATGGCTAAAAAAATAGGTTATTTTCTTGTTTGAGATTAAAGTTCTGATTGTTTTATGTCAGCTTTTGTTTCCTTGGACATGCTTAAAAATGTCTGTGCTTTATCTATACAGCTGAAGTTTACAGAAAGTGACTATTTTGGTAACGTGTTGCAAACTCGCAAATATGCAGCCCAATCTGATTTCTACTGGCTTAGAAAAGAAGTTCCAAAAACAGAGTGAGTAGACAAAAGGGAAATTTACATAATCTTCTAACAATATTTTACTTTCTATTATTTGATTTATACAATGTATGTTTTAATAGAACTATATAGACAGCAACATAATATGATACAAAAAGCCTATGGGCAAACCCCCCCCTTATTCAGAAACTCCTGTGGATATTTTTTATATAAGCTCTGTTCTGAGCCACAGCAGTCGTGCTTGCAGCTTAAACTTTTGATTTAATGAAAAAAGGGTAACTGGATCTCAATTAAAAATGGATTATGTCTCTTGGTCACAGTTAGAATTTGGAATGGTACAGCAGGTAGTTATGAAATAAATTTTCTAAGAATGGAACCATTGGTTAGAGATGACATTATTATTAGTATAGCAATCATCATTGTTAGTTACCTGCTGTTAATAGCAATGATATGGAATAAGACATTTAATTTACATATTTTTTTTATTTGTAAACCTGAGAGTGGAGATTGTGTCACATACTGTCATCAAATACGTGAGAGAATCAGTCTCTCTTCTTACTGGTGGGTAATCAAATCCTTAAAATGCAAATTAAAACCTAAGCAGAACTAAATTAGTCTAATTGTGCTACTTAAAAATTACTCCTCCTACACAGAGACTTTGAAATTGATGCTGCTGCTTAGCTTCTGTAGTGGTGTTTCCTCAGGGCTCCAGAAATTCCCACTCAAACTGAACCATACCTTGCTGCGGGGGTGGCTCTATGTTGTCCGTGAGGCAGGTAGATGGTGTCAGCAGGACAGGCACAGGCTATTCCTTGTTAGAGGGTTGTAATTTGGCCCCATATTTTCAAGGTGGTGTTTATAGCTTAATTTTAATTGTGAATTTTGCCTTCTTGATGTACCTTTCTCTGATATTGCAATGGTTAATCCCAAGGAATGATTTTGTGGGCTTTCCTGCAGCCCTGGATGCCAGGGCTACATCATAACAGTATGCTGTCTTCAGACCAACATTTTCCATGAGAGCAGCGAAATAACACTTGCCTCTCTATAGCAACAGTGATCCTTCCTCTTCATGATCAGTGTTGTGGCTTCTCTAACGCAGACCATGTAGATTCTTGGTGCAATGGGAAATCTCTCCTGTAAGGAAACTAATTGGCAGGTAATCCCTGACTGTAAACCTCAAGGACTGTAATCTGAGAACTGTCACATCAAGTGGGTATGCTTAAAAAGACGAAGGTTTTACTCAATTGCCCACTAGAAGACTGAATACTTTCTCATGCTTGTCTTTACCATCTTATTTCAGGGACTACTTAATAGCAACCCCCTCATCATCTTTGTCCTGCTCTGGCCGATCCCAGTTTGATTTTTCAGTCTCTTTCCTTTCTCAGCAGAGCTATGTGCTCTGCCTTCTGTGGGGTGGGGAGTAATCCCCACCTGAGCCCTCAGCCATAATTATTCCTGC